TGATCATAAAAATCACGTGAAAAGCGATTTTTTTTTTTATGACTTCAATGGCATAAAATTATTAATTTTGTTATTACTACTATATAAAATCAAAAAATTATTATTTAAATTAAAAGAAATGTGTATAAACATGTATCTATTGAATGTAATTCGAATTTTTCATCATATTTTTATTAATCTTCTTAAAGAGTTCATTTTAATAAATAAAATATATTTAATTAAATATATTTATCATTTAAATAATATATATATATATACATATATATTCTATAATTCTATAATTCTAAATTTTATAATTAAAATTGTTTGGATCTTTGATATTATTCGAAAACGATGTATTTGTTGTTTTGTGTTAAATATATCTATTTTAAATCTAAAAATAATTGATCTAAATAAAACGTCACAATAAATTCGAATAAAATCGACCAGTAAATTTATTCACACAGCAAGTATTAATTAAAACTAGATTTCAATGAACTTTTGAAATAAAGAAAATGTAAGGTTAAATTTGATTTGATTTCATTGACTTATTCAAATCGACGAATTTCTATAGTGCAAAACACATTGTGTGCTATTCCAATGTTGATTTCTGAAACGTTGACTTCTGAATCATTTGATTTCGTTACAATATTCGTTGAAACGAGTGACGAAAGCGCCAATGGATTTCTGTGAATTCCGCTTTCGTCTGTTTCTCACGGTCGGTAAATTATCTCCGTGAGAGACGTGGCAGCCGATAAAGAATGCAAGATTCGTCAAATTATATATATAAATTTCTAATCATTAAAAGAAATGATATTAAATACTTTTTATTTTCTATTTTTGCATTTTTTATATTTTTCTTTGTAAAATATATAAGAATAATAGTTTTGTCGCAATCGCAAGTTTTTCCATAATGTTTGGTCTGCTATTTTTAATCTAAAGTTTCTTAACATTTACCACTTTACTGAATCATCAAAGAAATATTTCAGTAGCGTATATACGCAATGTATCATTCACAATTTAGCTTCTAGAACCTTTTTTTTTTCTAATCGAAACTAAAATGCCAACATTTAAGAAAA